TGTGTTTGTGTGTTTGCAGTACACAAGCCACGGTTAAGACAGCTGACTCCACTGTGATGTGACCCTGTCTCTCTCTCTCACGCACGCACGCACGCACGCACTCGCACACGATGCGCAAAACTCTGCATTTGAACAGTCAACAGCAAATACTTAAAACTAATAACAAAACATACTTACAGTAGCTGATTCAGAAGCGCCAGATTGTCATAGCAAAGTCAGAATTACCTCCTCTCCTAGTTTCACGAAACGGTCGTCCATAAAATGCATTGCTGTTCTGTTGCAAGTAATCTTAAAGATTCCTAAATGCATCTACTTTCGAAAGGCCAAATAAAGTGCTTTTGCTTTCGCCTAGAAACACACAGCGTCTCCCTGACATGCTGCTTCAACACTAATTGCGGTTACTGAAACCACGCCTTCTTTCTTTGCGTGAACATTTGGGCGGCATTACACAAATATTTCCCCATAGTGACGTAGATATGTGGGGTCGTGTTAGAACCAGCCGTTTTAGGGGGGCGTGGCAGAGTCTTAACTTTGATAAAGAATATCTCTTTGGATTTGAGACTTTAGTCTTTGCAACTTCAGGGATCTTATCTATGCAGAATCAGCTTGTAACACTCCAAAGAGAAAGGAAAACTTGAAATCACATCATATGACCCCTTTAAATAATTTCAAACATCAGTTTTCAATGTTTTATGTTTAAAATATCAAAACATTATTTATGCATTTGTAACTGCAGGTTAAAGTATTTATTGTCTCTCAGAGCTGCATTAAACAGTGTGTAAATGCATCTAAATGCCAATTCTAATGCAGCTTCTGTGTTTCCTCTGCATTCCAAAGATAAATTTTTCTGATACTGATTTCATTTGCTTGGTAACAACCCAAATGCAAGAATTTGACTCAAATTTTTTTTTTTGAAAAAAAATGGCTTAAAGGTAAAAATGCCCATAAAACTTGTTGGAAATTATTAATTTCTATCACTGCTGTGAGCTGACTACATAGAATATGAAGAATATTTTAAAAAATCAGGAGTCAGCTGTCAGCACAATTAGAGAGAAGATATCAGCACAATAACACATTCAGCAAAATATAGTCTAATTATCGTTATCGATAAAATCCCTGTAAATTATCGAGATATAATTTTTTGTCAATATTGCACACCCCTAATATATGTTATTTAATTGATATAATAATTTATTGTTAATAATTTTTTTAATTAATATAGTAATTAATACTTTTGACTCATCCATTTTCTTAAAATGGTCTAAAGGCTGAAATATAAAGTTTATCATTTTATTAAAAAATTTTTTTTTTGTGAAAACTTGTATCTGAACTGTAAATTATGCTTTATAAAGTAATTTTACAGTTTAATATGGTACTATTGACATTGCCCTACCCCCGCTCGGTAGGTATTTTATTATGGTATTAATTTTATTTGTGCAGGTCTTAAAAAGGTCTTAAATTTGAGCTTAAAAATCCTGCAGAAACCCTGCAGACTCTGAAACTTGCAGCGCTAGGGTTGGGTACCGAAACCCGGTGTCAATATGGCACAGGTACCCATGTAACCGGTATGTACTAGAACCAAATCAGAACGCAGATTTCGGTGTCACTTAAATGCCTGAGCGATCAATTTAAATATTTGTCCTGGTTCTCCGAAATGGACGTAAGAAGCTTGGGCGTCGCTAGGCCATTTTTAGTGGGGCTATAGCGATTAGCTCCATAAACTGTACACAAATTCGTGATGGCCTCAGAGTCAGTCCACTTTAAATTTCATATGAAAACGGTGGAAGACTTTCAGCATGCTCTATAATCCGCAGACCGCGGCGGCGCAGTGCAAGCGGACTCAAACAGAAACAGAGGACACAAGGTGTGCGTTTATCGATAGATTGTTATAATATCTGTATCTGTGCCGTTCTTTGTCATAAATACAGTTTACAAAAGGTCACGAGGGAGCAATCGGTTTCCCGTCTACTGTAAAGTTTTCGCTGACATCTCATCACACCACAGTTGTTTGCTCCAGCGAAAATCTAGCCCTTAACACATATGAACGCATACTTTATAAAACTACATTTATAAAAGCATACTTTTTTTAATGATATTTTCATTTGAAAATTTTATATAAAACATATTACAGTGCATGTGGCATACCATACAGTCATTCACAGAACTGATTAAAGACAGTGACAGAGCACTCAGTCAATTCACTCATTTTAACTAAATATCAGAGTGATTGACAGAGATACAGTAGAAACATTATGTGTGGTTTTGTATTAAATATTGTTTTTAATTAAATAATGACCCAGATCTTGAAATGCATTTATTAGCCTTAGAGTAAGGGAAGCACAACTCGGGAAATAAGAGCATCCGAGGAGCATGTGAATGCTATGTATATTTATTTTAAATATTTTTAATGTTATCCAGGGTTTTTTTTTTTTTTTTTAAGTATCGGTTCAGGCACCAGTACCATTTTAAAAGTAACGATTTGGCACCGGTATCTAAAAAATCCAATCGATACCCAACCCTATGCAGCGCTTGTGTTTATTTAATGAAATCATAGCCTTTTGAAGTTTAAGCCATATATTAAGCCATATCGCAATTCTGGCCTTTCCGTCCCCAAATTTAAGACCTCCTGAAATCATAATTAAGACTTTCATACAATTTAAGACTTTTTAAGGCCTTAAATTTGATCCAACTAAATTTTAGACTTTTTAAGACCCCGTGGAAACCCTGAATAATAGATTTCAGGATTTTTATATAATAATAGATTTTTGTATCCATCTCCTGACTTGTGCCTGTCCACAACTTCATCCCGGAGATCTTTTGACAGTGCCTTGCCACCCATAGTTGATTGTTTGCTTCAGTTGTTCTCTTTTCTTGCTGAGCTAATCAAAATGACCACAGCTGATCATAGCTGAAAGTCAAATGGCTTTGTGCACCATTGAGAAGGTGATTCGCTACACCTGATTGACTTTACAAGTCAGTTTTAGGAGGGGGGGGTGATCCTTTGAGGATGCGACCTCCAGAGGATTCGACCTCCGGAGGGTGCAGCCTTCTAAATGAGACACAGCGAGTGATTCTGTTTTTTTGTTGTTGTTTTTTCTGACATGTTGGTGTTATATATTTCACTTGTCTTCACAACCCTCAACGGACACCTTGGCATTTAATCAGGTTGTGTGCGTTTGCTCGAACTGATTTGCTGAAATCAAAACAGGGATGATAATAGGTAAGCACCAGCAAATGAGATTGTCGTTTGTGCATTAATTCCGCCTACTACAGTAAAACCCGGCAGTACTTAATAGCTGAAGAATTCCAAAGGAACTCTGTTTATTTTTACAGGAAAATACAACAAAAGTATATAGTTTACATGTAGCGCATCAATGCTGCATGTTATGTAAGACTCTCGCTCTTTGCGCGTGTGAGAGAAAGTGACGGCGAGTTGTGCGTCTTCACACTAGAGTTTACGTTATGCCAAATACAAAAACACAGGTGCGCTGCGCATCCATTCAAATGAACTGAAAAATATCACAGATCGCTTGACGGAGAGTGAAACTCTGAAGCGCTCGGTCAGAGTGTTCTGTGAGTGAAAATATATATGTGATAATCATACTCAGCCTTCAACTCACACACTGGCGAGTAAAATCTGAGAATTGATTAGCCATTGGCTAATATTAGACATCATTTAGTCGCCCAGAGTGAAGATTTAGTCGCATATGCGAGTGATTTACTCGCAATATAGAGGGTTGCTTTTTTTCAGGCTGCTAAGCAATAAAATGTGATTATTTTAAAGGGAGGTTTGATTATTTTTTAACTGTAGGTCTATATATTGTTTTTGTGGAATGGAATTACTCATTGTGATAAGATGTCACGCTGCACACCCCTAACCTGCATTAATGGTACAACGCAATAAATCAGTACCAGTAAAAACCTCTATATCAGCCAAGCTAATGTTAGTGCACCCAAAACTCTATCGATAGCCTTCTTAATGGATAAACAAACAAAAAAATCGCTTTTTTCCTGTGAATTTGAAGTTTCATTTCAGCAATTCTGTGTGCATCTCTTTTAGGGTCATTAAATTGTATCATGTACATACAGGTATAATACCAACTACCTTGTACTGAAGACAACATTAATATTTATAAAATTATTTTACCAATTGTCCAAGTTTATCCACATTGTCCAGGAAATACTTCACAGATTCACCCTAAAAAGATAATAAAAAAAAGACACACAATCATAATTAGGTCTCCAATATGTGAGCTTTGGTGCAGAAGGTGCAACTTTGAATTTATCTTGTGCTTTGTCCCAATTTCCCCATTTTATCCATTTCCTGTTACACTATACAATCCTGTCCAAAAAAATTATAATAATAATTGTTATTAGTTATCTCTTTCTCATTCTCTCTCTCTCTCTCACACACACACACACACACACACACACACACACACAGAGAGAGTAGAACATAACTATACAATATTTTCCACCAGATTTGCTGGTCTAAGGCTGATATACTACAGTGATCCTCAAATCTGGCTCGCGAGATCCACTTTTCTGCAGAGTTTAGCTCCAGCCCTATAATCAAACAAACCTACCTGTGATTTTCTAATGATCCTGAAGACATTGATTAGCAAACTCAGGTGTGTTTGATTAGGGTTAGAGCTAAACTCTGCAGGAAAGTGGATCTCGCAAGCCAGATTTGAGGATCACTGATATACTAGGTTACTCTGGCCTTATTCATAAGCAAGTTTACCTAACACAAAATCAGGAAAATGAGGATCTGCTGTGTGGTCTCTTATTGGCTTGCTTTGTGGGGAATGCAAATCAATGCAAATTAAGAAGAGAAAGTGACTTGGTCACCAAAAATGAATGTTTATCACTAAAAAAATACGGATAAACACGTTAATCACAACTTGTACAACAATGGAGATTTTAGTTGGAAAATTTGAGCTAAATCCTAATCTCAGTCATAAGGGTTCTAACCCCTGAACATGCATGATCTTATCTTCATATCTGAAATGCAAACTATACTCACGCACAGAGAGAATGCTCTCATTGTCATGAGTAATAAGTCACTTCATTTGTGTTCAACTCATACCTGTGCATTACTCTCAGGTTTCAAACATTGTCCATGCTACGCTCACAACATATATGACTTCTTGAGCATAATCAGTCCAACAATATCAAAACACGGCTGCTTAATTACATTCTAAATATATGAAATATATAAGCACACATTACACCATGATTAATGCTTTGGCGGAAAAGCTTGATAGGAGTAATTATTTAAGGACACTGTGCTTATCTCTCATGATTCATAATATCAAGCTGTTTAACAACAGATCAACATTCCTTCAAGTTCACATCCCCCACAATTACACAAATCTTATGAAAAAGTGTGAGTGGACTCTATATCCAAAACTTTACTTCACAGAGACTAAGAACAACTGAAATTATCAGTTCAAACTATGTACGATAATTAATAATAAACAAAATAATGAGTAATCATTTCATATTTACCAGCTGAAACTCTCTCCGTCTGTCGTAGGCATTCTGAATACCATTGTCTTGCCACAGGGCACATATGGAGGGCAGGTAATTCAGAAAGACTTTGGTCTCCACCATCCCTTTAGCCATCATGGATGAGCGGGTGTCAAAGGCCATCACTGTCTCCCCGTGAACCTGATTCTCAGGATCACCCCAAGGGATGTGCAGCTTCTCACGGGCATCCACCAGCACTCGGACACCTAAACAGACCATTAGAGATATTGACATATTGCATTAATCAGGTTACTATAAAAATACATTTGAGGCTGCTGACATGATGTTCTTTAAAAATAAAATGAAATAGCATTATTTTACTATGCATTCTCAGACCATAAGGCACCATTTTGTCAACACGATCAAACTTATGAAAATGAAAGTCCTTTTTTTTAATTTCCTTTTTTATGAGGTCAACAAGGTCAGATGGGCTACAGTGAGTTCAATAACTAAAATTATACAGTATTCAAAAAGTTATTATAAAGTAATAATAAATATACTTATTATATAAAATCACTGTCCTAAATATGCATATCAATTTCAGCACCCAAATAGTGAAGAAATCGTTTTCCTTAATTTAAAGTAGCTAGTAACATAAGAAAAAACATATATTATTCAACATGTAATAAATTATACTAAAAATTGTTATGTAATACGTTTTGACTTAACTGAAATCAGTAAACATCATACTTATATTAATTCATTCATTCATGTAAGCGAATACTATATAATACATATTAAATAAATGTTTGTATTTAATGGGTGTTTACTAATATTAGGGGGGCATTTAGTCAGAAATGGGAGCAGATAAAACCTAAGCACTATTAAACAGGTTAATCAAAATAATTCCTTACTTTTCCATCCTAAATTCTGTAGCCTCCTTTTTTCGTTTTTAGCCGTTTTGTCAGGTATGTCTCAAGAAACAGTTGAGATACATATATCAGAATAATGTCATAAAACAATCACACATCCAGATGACTAGCAGACCAAAGTAGGCGCTGTACTTTCTCTAGAGGCGCCAAGTTCACTGAAAGTATTATGTGAGATCTGAACATAGGCTACATATGTAAATGTTTTAAAAACAGTCGTATCCGTTTTCGAAGGCTACATATTTGATCTGAATATGTATAATTGGTGTTCAACAACCCCAGCTGGCCTCCGCGTCGTCTATGGGCTGGGTGAGCAATCGAACGTTTGCTTAAGTTAGGCGAAAGAAGTCGATAAAACACATGTACCTGCCGCTACAACAAAATTGAGATTTCACTGAGTGTTCCTTTTTAATAATGAACTTGTCTCTTTCGATTTCAATCTACTGGTGTGATACCTTTGATAACATTGCTGTAGATTGTAGCCCGGAACTCTTCTTTGGCCCGCTGATCGAAGTCCTGCCCATGAATTATGCGCATTTGTTTGAGGAAAGTTGACTTGCCACTTTCGCCTGCTCCTAACAGCAAGATCTTCACCAGTTTCTTCACGTGAGTCTTCTCTCGAAGCAGGCTTTTATCGATCGCCTTAGACTTTCTAATTTGGTCAATTTCGCCGCTGGAGAGAAGACAATTGGGAATACAAACTATAGCAGTCCGAGAGGGCAGGAAATCCGCCATCTTTGTAGTAACGACTTCATGGATACATCACTGCCTCGCGAGGCGTGTTCTGTGTTCTTTACAAATAGGCGGATACACGGGTGTGGTTTTATTGTTGGGAAATTAATAAAACACACTGTCAACTATTTATTGTTTTATCATTTATATGTATTGGGTTGGGCGATTCCTATTAAGCATTAGGCTACATTTTTATGTCCACGTCATGTCTTAATGTATTGGATAAAATAAAAATAGGCGATTCTTTAAAAACTGACAACATAGTGGTACATTTTAAAATAATTTGGTTTGAGTTTCTTGTTCATGTTTTTTTCCCTTTCTCTAACAATTTGATATTTTTACACAGCCTGTCAGTATCACTCCATCCTAATGATCTTTGTAATGTTCATTTAACTAACACAAATAAGTTCCTTAATGACATGATCTTTCAGCAATGGATTGACTCGACGGATTTGGACTTTCATTTCAAGTCGGACCCTTGAGCAATGGATTTAAAGCCTATTTATTAATAACCGGGAGTACGACCAAATCCACTGCTCAAGGGTCCAACATGAAATGACACTCGTGCAGTAGCTGTTAGCCTCCTGTTCATTTGTTATTGCCATTGTGTAGGTAGCCTAATGAAATTATACTTGCTGTAATAAAGTTTTAGTGTCCAGAGCATATTTTTATAAGTCTGCTACGTCATTTTACAGAAATATCTCCTGAAATTACAACACAAGCATATACCATTTTTTTCTTTTTCTTTTCTTTTTATTACAGAGCTGCATAATATGAATGACCCAGTTGATCAAACAATTCATGTAAACATTTTACATGCGCAGATTTACTTTTTCGTCGCAGTAAAACCTTTTTTTGTACGATAATCACAATAACAAAGAGTTTATGGATTATAGTAATCATAAATCCCTTTTGTTTTTTTCAATTTCGATCTGTAGTTTCATGTCAGCCCCAGGTGCCTTCGTGTGAAAAAGACGACACCAGCGCCATCTACCGTTACTGTAATCACTGCGCCCTGCATACGGGCTTACCTACATGAGCAGAGCTGTTACCTGATTGGCGCACACAGCCGTCGTCTTTGTGTGCATCAGTGATGATTATATATTAGACATAGCCAAAAAGATTTCATTCGCTCGTCTACGACCGTCCACAGACTGTGGCGTGAGGACGCGAATATGACCATAAGGAATGTCCGGGACCACGGGCAGCGTTACAGACCGCGTATGGCATGCCTGAAGAAGGTGGGTTGAGAGCACCATCCATAGCTCATCATCACCATCTGTGTTATTGACATTCTCGCGAAAGAGATCAGAATAATGTTACATATGGTTTCTGTAATCTAACAAATAATCTTTAATGCCTTAAGATCCAATGATATATTTGCTGGTCTTGCTGTATTTGAGCGCAGCAATATAATTACTTTAATCCTCATTATCATTATATAGGCTGTCAATTTCACTTTCAATGGTGATTCCATCCATTCAGAATATTAAAGCGTCTTGTATGTGCAAAAATATATAAATAAATAAAAAATATTACCTGGACCAGAAACAAACACTGTCCTTGTTTTGGTCACAGAGGAACTTAAGAGGAACTTCAATTGAATCAATTAAAATTGCATGACATTGTCATTGTCATTTTTGCTTGTTTGAATTGAATTTATCATTATTATTATTATTATTATTAGCATTTATTCAGTGTTTTCAAGTCCGGATGTTATTGATTTGACACACCATGTACACTGATTTAAATTTTTGTGATTTTTTTTTGTCACTTCCTAGATTTTGTTCTTTGGTTTTCCAGGTACAAAATGGACTTTTATTATTAATTAGTGCCGACTCCCCAAAAAATATGACCCACTAAAATAAAATAAATCAAATTTATTAATTGAAAATGATATTCTAAATGATATTATATTCTAAATTTAAAATGTAAATGTAATGGCTTCATTACAATAACTAAAATGAAAGTGGTGTCAAAATCAAATGTTTCGGCCACTTTAAAATGAATTAATGATGAAGAAAAGTTGAGCTCGTAAAAACTCCATAAAAAAATGTAAACTCATAAAATCGATTTAGAAATAGAAGAAATTGTTGCAATTTAAATGCATTGTAAAGATGTTATGTCATAAAAATGAAAATGCTGTATAAGTGTTAATTGTGAATTTAGCAGCTTACTCTCAGATAAGGTCACTGTGTGCTAATGGTATTAGTCTAGCTTTGCCATCAGCCTCTCATATAATGCAGTCCCTCTTTTATCATGATACTTCAAGCTGTATGCTTGAAGTGATCCCCCACAGTGTGATCCACTAGAATATGTTTTATTAGTGCATTACTTTGCCAATGCACAGATAGTAATGACCAAATAACCCGGCCAAGAGCTGTCTGTGATCCAGACCAGGGTTCAGCAAGAGTTCACAAACAGTCTTCAAAAGCCAGAGACCTTGTCAAAGCAAGAAAAACTTCAAACAGCTGAGTCCCAAATCAATCACTGAGTATAGTTCAAAGAGGTCCATAAACCAGCAGTGATGACTTCACGGTGGAATAATTTAGTCAGATGTGCACACAGGCTGCCACAAGGTATAAAAAAAGAGAACTTTTTATATTGTACATCCCATATCTATATCACTTTTTTTTGCATGCCAGGTGGAGAACGTGGTGTTGGAGATGCAGGACCCCAAAAGTGGAGTGAAATCTCAGACCCAAAGGCTTGTAATCACCTCCATCCCACATGCTATAACAGGTGAGATCATCAGAAATAGCCGCCTTTTCACATTAGCTGATAGTATTCTTCAAGAAGGAATATTTACAGGTTTCAAACTGATGAAAACTATGAGATGTAAGACACAGCATTTGTAATTAAAGATAGTAGGCTCACCTACTCAATTGTATTGGTTTCCGTGGTTGGATTACTCCTCGGGAGTGCTAGTGCGGTCCGTGCATTTAGAGTCTGCTTATGTGGGTCTGAGACTGAAGAATCTATTGCCATGACAACCTCTTAGCAGCTGGTTGCAATGTCTCTCTCCTCTAGGCTGCGTGGTTTCAGGGATGAGAGCTCTTGTAATCTCCACCGTTCGTCTTAATGCTGTCAGCCAGCTACATATAACATACGACTTATGATTAACTTATATTTGTGTTTGCTTAAACTTAATTGGTGCCTCTGGTTATTCACATCAGTTTTTATATAATTTATATAGTAGAAAGACACCTGAGGTTTTTATTTTAAAAATTCATTGAAATGATCTGGTATGCTCCTCAGGCTAGCAGACACTAATAAAGCCAATCAGATTCACCCCTGCAGAGATCTTCTCATTAGTCTTCTATCACGAGAGCCTCAGCGGGACACAGTGGTGTACCGAGTCATAGTGCGATAGCTATTTTGAGAATGCACCTTTGTTCTGTGTCCAATACTCACTGTTGTTTTCACCTTAAATGCGCTTTACGAATCTCTCATTTAAAAGCCTGCTAAATTAATAAATCTAAATGACAAACTTACAAATTATAAATAAATTATATACTAATTATTCTCTGCCTCCATTTTTACTTCCAATTCAGCATATTTATTTTGCGCATACTCCTCTCTGCCACTTAAAGCTAGGCAAAGTTTTTCATAAAAAATATTTTGTTATACTGGTTGAAAGTCTCTTCGCAGCCTGATCAACCAATAATTAAAGTGGTCTAATCTAATCTATTCAAAGCTAAAATCTGAAGACTTGTCAAAATACACAGAGACATACAACGGGGTAAAACAAGCGTAAACATTGGCAGTGTTTTTACAAAGATGGAGGAACTTGATGAAATGTTTGCGATAAACTTGCAGAGTTTCTTTTCGACAAACTTCTAGTTAAAAGTATTTCTAATATGTTGGAACCTTTATTGAAAGTAGCCTATTTTACGTGTTGAGATGTGCCTTCACTTTTATAGACCTATTGGAGCGGTGTTTGTGATGTTTGGGGGGGCTAAACGCACAAAAGGAGCATTTGCATTAAAGCAATAAGCCCCGTGAAGCCGTGGTTTACAGTTTTATAACAGCTAAGGGGCGTTGTTAGGCACGACGCGAAGCTTTTATTAAACCGTTATTCCATATATGTAGTAAGGTTTCCCAAAATAAAACAGAGCAAATAAAGTGTAATGATATTAATAAAAACATTATTCTTCCACCAAACAATGTAGTTCCTCAGAATCAGTTGTGGTTGCAACAAAGTTGCAACACACAAACGTAAACAAAGGTGTATGTTTGTAGAGTAATTTACAACAGCTTCGAACGTGGCTCAGCCAATCAGAATCAAGGACCGGAACTATCCATTTTATAAAGATCGTTTAAAAACGAGCTTTATTTTTGTAGTTCCGCTAAGTGACACTCGTAGCGGAGAAATACATTTTTATATTTCTTTTTTTATTATTTCAGTATAGTACATTACTAAATGAAAATGAGAAATGTTTCCTTGGCAACTAGATGAAATAATTGTTAGATATATTTTTATTTCATATTTACTTTATTTCAAGTAACAAAAATGTTTTTTTTATGGTTTTAGTTTTGGTTATCTATAATAACCCTGCTTGTCTCTCGTGGTGTGTGTGCTTTGCTGATGACTCCTTGTGGGCACATTCAGTCTGAAGGCCAACTTTCCACTGATACAGTCTTTTATTGCTCTGAAATGTTTTACTTGAACTTTTAACATATTTATTGCATACATTGTTCTTTCAGGGGAAGATATTGTTGCATGGCTCGTGAATCGATTCAAAATAGATGCTACGGGTAAGTCAAGTACATAGTTTTTTGTTTAGTAATTTAATAATTGTAAAAAAAAATATGTCTCAGTCCAGATCTGTATAAATATATGTATAAACAGATATGTATAAAGTATAAATATAACCAGATATGCTTTAAGAAATATATTCTTGTGCTATGCAATTTGATGTGGGATGCTGTACTGTTGATTTGGGTCTTGTTTAGATGCATTAAGTAACTTTCTCATTCTAAATGTTTAGAGGCCCGAGCTATGGGGACCATGATGGTGGCTTTTGGGTACATCTATCCACTACAAGATCATAAGAGACTCATCCTTAAACCAGACACATCCCTGTATCGCTTTCAGGTAACTTTCACAAACAACTTTCAAATACTGTGATAGCAATTATATCACATATATTACCATCACAGTTTCCACAAAAATATTAAGCAGCACAATTGTTTTCAGCATTGATAATAATGAGAAAGGTTAGGAATGATCATGTGATACTGAAAACTGGAGTAATGGCTGATAAAAATTTAGCTTTGGCATTATAGAAATAATTAACTTTAAAAAATATGTTACAATAGAGAGCAGTTATTTTAGATTTTGTGATAATATTTCATAATATTACGTTTTTTACTGTTATTGATCAAAGCATCCTTGGTGAGCATACGAGAGTTCTTCCTTCCATATGCTTTGTACTAATCTTTTCCATTTCTTCTTCCAGACCCCATATTTTTGGCCTGCGCAGCAGTGGCCAGTGGAAGACACAGACTATGGTGTGTAATCATCTTTCATTTTTCATGCATGCTGATAGGTTGTCATAGCAATAATTCACAGTGAGGTTATTCATTATTCTTCAAACAGGTCTGAGATAAAGAATGTGATCAAATGCTTTCATGTTGAGTCATATCACATCTTTAAATTGGCTTTTACTGGCAAGGTCAGATGTTTATTTGTGTATTTCCAGCTATTTATTTGGCAAAGAGAAATATACGCAAGAAAGGGATGTTGGAGCTCTATGAACAGGTAATCGTTGTCTTAAACCTCATCTATTAAATATACATGTATATTAATTTCTCTGAAATCCTGTGTTGTAATGCAGAGGAAGAGGAACTCACTATAATAAATGTTATGATAAATTACTATCATCAAATTTGTGTTTCTTTTCTCAGGAACAGTACAACAATCTTTACAAATGGGTGAATCACAAGTGGGATTTTATTGTAATGCAGGCCAAAGAGCAGTACAGGTGGGTCACACTTAACTTCAAATATTGCAGAATATTTATGATTTATCCTGGCTCATTCAATCCGTGTGTATACAGGTTAATGAATTAGACCCAATGTTTTTCTTGCTTTGTTGTCACTATACACTGCCTGGCCAAAAAAAGCACACTCTAATATTTCATTTGACAGCTTTTAGCTTTGATCAGTGTTTATTTGTTGTGGCATTGCTCCAACAACCTTATGCAACATCACAACATATATTTCCATCAAGAGTTGCTGAAAGTTTAAGATCTTGTATTGATTTCTTTAAAGCTGACTCCATCACATCCACAGGACTTTCAAAAGGGTCACAACTCTATGGTGACCAATCCGTGTGTGAAAATTATTTCTCATGCTCTCTGAATCACTCTTTCATAATTTGAGCCCATTTAACCTTGTCATTATCATCCTAGAACATGTACGTGGGTACACAGGCAGTGTGTATTTTATTTTTGTTTCAGCATATAAAAGACACATTGCTTTTTTTGTGTAGGGCGGGTAAGGAGAGGAAGAAGCCAGACCGGGTGGTTTTTGATTGTCAGGAACGGGCCTACTGGGTTGTACATCGGCCACCGGTGAGTTACTTTTGGACTGAGTATATACGATCATTTAAAGTGACATATTTCCTTGCAAAATGACTTAAAGGGGTCATAGGATGCTACATGCGCTTTTACAAGTTGTTTGAACTGAAATGTGTGTTGGCAGTGTGTGTACACAACCACCCTATAATGATAAAAATCCACCCAGTGTTTTTTTAAAATCTGGTTAAATGTTTTCCCCTTTCTCAAATCGAGCCGATCTCAGATGCCTGTCTGTGTGACGTCACACAGACAGGCCCCTCCCACGATAGTTTGATTGACAGTAGCGTTTCAGCACAGACTGGACTGGTGTCTTACCTTAGATCCACCCTGAGTGAGCTGTCATCAGTCCACCATTGTTTCACCGCCGGAGCAGATGTAGACAAGAATGACTCCTAAGCGATTGAGGTGTTCTGTTGTTGGATGTAATAATGAACATAGCAGTCGTCATTTACTCCCAACATCTGAGCCGCTGAACTAGCAGTGGATTACATTTGCTTCTGAAGGGAATGCGCCCCCGATCTACATAAATGCGTCTATGTTCGCGTGAATCATTCATGGTCCAGCCTCATCTACAGAAGAAGTGAGTATAATGTTTTGTAATGAATCTTTGCAAATGGCCTTTCCTAATAATGTGCTATTTAGCAAGTTTCACGATGAATGTGGCTAAAGTAAACAGTCTCTCTGAGAGCAGCTGGGAAGAGAGGGGCGGGGTCAGCAGAGCTCATTAACATTTAAAGGAAAATGCTACAAAAACGGCTTGATCTGAAAAGAGCTGTTTTTGACAGGGTAAAAAATGTGTTTTTACACTACCATTGAGAAATGTTAACCAAACTACGTTACAGACTTTCCATTAAGACCCTAAAGAATCATATCAACTTGTGGAAAATGGGCATCCTATGACATCCGTTTATTTGAAATATTTTGCTATTTTCCTAATTCTGCGCTCAGGCTCCTTTTAAATAAAGCGTCAAAACTTACATTTGATAAGTACAACTGTGCTATTTCCACTCAACAGCCAGGAACAGTTAGTGCTATGGACTATGGACATGACAGGATGGTCGACCCCAATATGGAGGAGGTAAAGGTATGTGTGAAAAATTATTGTAACTTCTAAAGAGATAAAAAATATTGTGGTCCAGGATTTTTTAAAGAAATTTCACAGTGATGATATCTAGGCCTTCAAAATACAGTACAGCAGGTCAGATGAAGAATCTTGTAATGAGACACGGGGCTGTATATCCAACATTAACAGATATTACTGCTGAGATTATAATTGTGATGAGAGGCTGTTGTGCTGGGCTTATCAAGGATATTTCTAGCATGTCAACTTACGTATATCCAATAGGATTTAAATGATCATAATCTCACTGCTTTCCACTATAAAGGTCTCATTGTATTCAATAAAATAGGTTTGTTTTAAACTCTTTCTCTCTTTCCTACAGATTTGATTCCTAAACTTATCTGTGGAGACACACGACAAGAAACAGCAGATGACTTCAAAATGAAAGCACACACTCAATGGATCCTAAAATTGGTCTCTATGTAATAGAAATATGAGTGCATGCTTTTAAAAAATGACATTGCAAGTCCACAAAGGGACCATATTCACCGAGACTCATAACGCAAACATGCTCAAATGTCAGTCTTTTCCTTTCAACACAGTCCTTTAGTGTGAGTCACCATTTACTTTCCTTGCAATTAAACGGTTTCTAAAATCATTTTACAGAAAAAAACATCTGATTACTACAGAAGAACTGTAAGTATCAACTGTAACTAGCACAAATATTTAGATGCAACAGGCAATGATCAAATTAGAATTTTTTTTTTTTTAGGTTTTGACCAATGAATCATTGTGATTTCTTGAAGGTTATGTTCATTCAGCAGTCGAGCCGTTCATGCCAATGAAGGCTAATGAAGGAAGACACACACTCACACAAAAATAAATTCAGTATACAGTTTATTTAAAATAGGATATACTAAGTAGGCTTACAGGCAAGCAGGTGATTGTGATTGTAATAAAGGCAATTTTATTCTTCACTGAACAGAAATGCACTGTTGTGTTTTCTGCTTGGATGTTACAGTTAGCTTTTTATTATTATTTATAATAAGATTTTGTGGCTATGAGTTCAAATGTCATTATGTGCATAATTGTCCATTTTTCCTTTGAACAAAGTGACTGATCCTTATTTAGATAGTACAAATAATAAGTGTTTAATGCTTATTTTTTTTATTTATTTTATTTTATTATTTTGGCTGGACATTTTTGGGGGGGCACAAGGAGAATCTGGGGGGACATTGCCCCCCCTAGACCCGGCCCTGTCGGAGAGGCAACAAATCCACACCAGTTCAGGGTCCACACAGCACCAGTCGAGTCCAGCTCTTCTCTCCTGCCCCGTCTGTGTCCCCGGTGGGCGGGAGGAGTGAGCAGGAGACCCCATTTACCGGCTCTCATTGTTTGAGTGGCGTCAGTGCCCTCAGTAGCTCTACCTTCAGCTCTGTTTGGAGCCCTGCTCCCCGCAACACCCCCTCTGAGCGTCGCTCCGCCCAGCGTCCCAGTCTTGGTGACTTCATGACGTCATCCCCAGAGACCCAGCCCAGCCCCGCCCCTCCGCACAGCAGCATAAAGGCCGCAGGAGGAGTGGGGGGTTTGGTGAGTGTGCGTCCGGCCGTCAGATGGGAACTCGCGGTGCTGTGACGGAGGAAGGAGCGACGAATCGACGAGTCACTACGGAAACGGACGCTAAGAAAAAGTGCGCCATGCTGTTTCATTCTTCTTCTTTTATTCAGTGGTCGTTTACATGCTTAGTGCATATCGTCACCTAATTGATGGTTGTGCAATCATTTTTATTTTTTTCCCGTTTAATCTTTAATCCTTGAGAATATGAATTATATTGTTTGTTTGATGCTAATTAAATATTAAGTCATATCAGATATGTATTTTGATTTAGAATTTAGACATTATAGAAAATGCTGATGCATGTGTGAGATGATAATATAAAATGTAATAAATAAATATATATAATATAATATAATAAATTAAACATTACCTCGTGATAGTGTTTTATAATTTATACAGATAACTGTTATATACAGTGGGTACGGAAAGTATTCAGACCCCCTTAAATTTTTCACTCTTTGTTATATTGCAGCCATTTTCTAAAATCATTTAAGTTCATTTTTTTCCTCATTAATGTACACACAGCACCCCATATTGACAGAAAAACACAGAATTGTTGACATTTTTGCAGATTTTATTAAAAAAGAAAAACTGAAATATCAGATGGTCCTATGTATTCAGACCCTTTGCTCAGTATTTCGTAGAAGCACCCTTTTGATCTAATACAGCTATGAGTCTTTTTGGGAAAGATGCAACACGTTTTTCACACCTGGATTTGGGGATCCTCTGGCATTCCTCCTTGCAGATCCTCTCCAGTTCTGTCAGGTTGGATGGTAAACGTTGGTGGACAGCCATTTTTAGGTCTCTCCAGAGATGCTCAATTGGGTTTAAGTGGCTGGGCCATTCAAGAACAGTCACAGAGTTGTTGTGAAGCCACTCCTTCGTTATTTTAGCTGTGTGCTTAGGGTCATTGTCTTGTTGGAAGGTAAACCTTTGGCCCAGTCTGAGGTCCTGAGCACTCTGGAGAAGGTTTTCGTTTAGGATATCCCTGTACTTGGCCGCATTCATCTTTCCCTTGATTGCAACCAGTCGTCCTGTCCCTGCAGCTGAAAAACACCCCCCCAGCATGATGCTGCCACCACCATGCTTCACTGTTGGGACTGTATTGGACAGGTGATGAGCAGTGCCTGGTTTTCTTCACACATACCGCTTAGAATTAAGGCCAAAAAGTTCTCATCAGACCAGAGAATCTTATTTCTCACTATCTTGGAGTCCTTCAGGTGTTTTTTCATGTGTCTTGCACTGAGGAGAGGCTTCCGTCGGGCCACTCTGCCATAAAGCCCCGACTGGTGGAGGGCTGCAGTGATGGTTGACTTTCTACAACTTTCTCCCATCTCCCGACTGCATCTCTGGAGCTCAGCCACAGTGATCTTTGGGTTCTTCTTTACCTCTCTCACCAAGGCTCTTCTCCCCCGATAGCTCAGTTTGGCCGGACGGTCAGCTCTAGGAAGGGTTCTGGTCGTCCCAAATGTCTTCCATTTAAGGATTATGGAGGCCACTGTGCTCTTGGGAACCTTAAGTGCAGCAGAATTTTTTTTGTAACCTTGGCCAGATCTGTGCTTTGCCACAATTCTGTCTCTGAGCTCTTCAGGCAGTTCCTTTGACCTCATGATTCTCATTTGCTCTGACATGCACTGTGAGCTGTAAGGTCTTATGTAGACAGGTGTGTGGCTTTCCTAATCAAGTCCAATCAGTATAATCAAACACAGCTGGACTCAAATGAAGGTGTAGAACCATCTCAAGGATGATCAGAAGAAATGGACAGCACCTGAGTTAAATATATGAGTGTCACAGCAAAGGGTCTGAATACTTAGGACCATGTGATATTTCAGTTTTTCTTTTTTAATAAATCTGCAAAAATGTCAACAATTCTGTGTTTTTCTGTCAATATGGGGTGCTGTGTGTACATTAATGAGGAAAAAAATTAACTTAAATGATTTTAGCAAATGGCTGCAATATAACATAGAGTGAAAAATTTAAGGGGGTCTGAATACTTTCCGTACCCACTGTATATCCAATAGGATTTAAATGATCATAATCTCACTGCTTTCCACTATAAAGGTCTCATTGTATTCAATAAAATAGGTTTGTTTTAAACTCTTTCTCTCTTTCTTTCCTACAGATTTGATTCCTAAACTTATCTGTGGAGACACACGACAAGAAACAGCAGATGACTTCAAAATGAAAGCACACACTCAATGGATCCTAAAATTGGTCTCTGTGTAATAGAAATATGAGTGCATGCTTTTAAAAAATGACATTGCAAGTCCACAAAGGGACCATATTCACCGAGACTCATAACGCAAACATGCTCAAATGTCAGTCTTTTCCTTTCAACACAGTCCTTTAGTGTGAGTCACCATTTACTTTCCTTGCAATTAAACTGTATCTAAAATCATTTTACAGAAAAAAACATCTGATTACTACAGAAGAACTGTAAGTATCAACTGTAACTAGCACAACTATTTAGATGCAACAGGCAATGATCAAATTAGAATAAGATTACTTACAACAGAACAGCAATGCATTTTATGGACGACTGTTTCGTGAACCTAGGAGATGAGGTAATTCTGACTTTGCTATGACAATCTGGCGCTTCTGCATCAGCTATTATTTTGTTATTAGTTTAAATGAAGTTCCTTAAGGTAACTTAGGGAGGAGCGAGCCCATCTAATCTTTCAATCAACAGCCAGAGTATATAAGCAGATGCATCAAATGACCCCTTTAAAATTGTAATATATAACTATATTACATATCTTAAACATATTGTAATAATATTTTGATAATATTATTTTTAATTTTATTGTCATTTTTTTGCAGAATTGTTAAGTACACAACAACATACAAAGAGCATGACCCCTTTCTCCACGCCTGCCTCCCAAGCAACCCCTGGTTAACAGATGATGTTACATATTGGACTCTCAACATGCCAAAGTAAGCCAGATACACACCTTTTTATTTAAATAAAAGCTTGTTTATTTCTTTATTAAACATTTGATTAAATATTGTGTGTTTGGTTCATACAGTGTTGAGACCCCTACTAAAATGAGGGTGGAGTGCTGGACTTTCAGCTTTGGAGAACTGCTTATGGACCCTCGGGGAAGGGCCGATTTCCGCCTCTTCCTTAAAAAGGAGTTCAGTGGTATGCATTATTCTAAACAACATTTTAACAATGTTGGCGTTAGACTTATTAGGTGACTTTTTGGTTTAGGTCTGCCCCATTTTAAGAATGCGATTCAATTGTTGACGTTCATATTAAAAACTAATTGTTATTTATTAAAGGAGATTGTGACTATAATCTGATTGGTGAATAGGTGAGAATCTTGCCTTCTGGGAGGCATGTGAGGATCTGAAATGGGGTGCTGCAGAGACAATGAAAGAAAAGGCTCAGCAAATATATAAGTAAGCATAGTATTTTTGGCTTTTTGACTCTGTCATATATTGTTATTTTTTTATATAATATAATATTATATTATATATTGTGCGTACACTGCTGTTCAAATATTTGGGGTTAGTACGATTTTTTTATGTTTTCAAATAAAATCTTATTCTGACTGCATTAATTTGATCAGAAATACAGTAAAAATTTAAGTATTTTTTTATTTTTATTTAATACATTTTAAAATGTAATTTATTCCTGTGATGGCAAAGCAACCAATTTTTAGCAGCTTTTACTCCAGTCTTCAGTGTCACATGATCCTTTAGAAATCATTCTAATCTGCTGATTTGGTGCATTATTACCCATGTTAAAAACAGCTGTGCTTCATAAGACCATCATTTAGTTGATTTTTTTGTAACAATGTGAATGTCTTGATTGTCACTTTTGATCAGTTTAATCCTTTGCTGTATTAAATTATTATTTTTTTTAAATCTTTCTTATCAAACTTTTTAACAGTAATATATATGTTTATTATTGTTATTTACATAACAATTACATAATTATAAAATATATATATTTTCTTTTTTCTCTACTTGTTTTAATCATTAATGAAACGAATAACATCAGCATTTAACTCTGGCATTTTTTATTCTTATTTGATTAGGACCTTTTTGGCACGTGGAGCTCCACGTTGGATCAACATTGATGGCAAAACAATGGACATAACAGTGAAGGGTTTGGCACATCCTCATCGTTATGTACTGGATGCTGCCCAGACTCACATTTACATGCTCATGAAAAAGGTCTCTGATCTCATGTAAAACCTTGCAGATCAAATGCCTTGTGCTGAGCTTAAATTGAATCTTGCCTATGATCTGTCATTAAGGACTCATACGGGCGATATCTCAAGTCCCCAGTGTTCAAGGAAACTCAAAGAAAGGCCATTGCTCCTGAACCACACAGATTCACGTGAGATGTGCCTTTCTGCTAGTTCCTATATATTAAAATACTGCTTTATAATGCATAAGTGACATTAAACATGTTCTTTACTCTTTTCTATTGTTTCCTAGTGAGACGCAGTTGGAGCAGAATGCCAAGAGAAGGCGGCCCAGCCTGAGTCCCATTACCCTGAGACAGCAGGAAGAAGAACAGAAGGCCAAACTTGCAGCAAGTGGCCCGGTGGACATCACACAGGTCATGAGCAAACTGGAAAAGAAACAGAAAGCCTAGAACACAGAGAATAGATATAAGCATATATTTATGATAAGCAAAAAGGATAACCACCTTTCTGGTAAAAGCAATAAACAGTTTTGCAAGACAGCATATTTATATAGTAATAATCCAAAATGCCGCTGCAAGATTAATCTTTAATGAGCCGAAAAGAATGCACGTCAATTTGCACTGGCTACCAGTAGCTGCTCGCATTAAATTCAAGGCATTAATGTTTGCCTACCACTGGCTCTGCGCCCATTTACCTAAATTCATTACTTCAGAGTTATGTGCCCTCTAGAAGCTTGCGTTCTGCAAGTGAACGGCGTATTATTGTGCCATCTCAAAGAGGCACAAAATCACTATCACAGACTTTCTCATTAACAGTTCCCTCCTGGTGGAATGATGCCCAAATCAATCCGAACCCATCTTCAAGAAACGACTAAAAACACATCTGTTCCAGCTTTATTTGACCGTCTAACTCTAACACTTTCTATTCTATTTTAATTCTACTTTATCTATATTTATCTTCTTCTTTTTTTTTTTTTTTTTTTTTTTTTAAAAACTAGCTTTCTATTTTTTCTATTCTATCTACTTGTTTT